GACATCAGGAGGCAGTACTTCACGGTCAGGGCGGCTAGGGTCTGGAACCAGCTTCCAAGTGAGGTGGTGCAGGCTTCCACCCTGGGGGGTTTTCAGAGGAGGTTGGATGACCACCTTACTGGGGTCGTTTGACCCCAGTACTCTTTCTTGCCATGGCAGAGGGTCGGACTAGATGATCTGCTCAGGTCCCTTCCGACCCTAGAAACTATGAAAAGATGGGCCAAAAAATCTGTGCCCCAACCCAATTTATCCTGATCAAAATAAAAACAGCAGGAGTGTGATTGTAGCCATAATAGTTCAGTAAATGTTGAGAGGCGAGGCTTTTTTGTGATATCTTTTTTCGGATCAACCTTATAACCGGGAGAGCTGTTAAACAACCTGTCAGGCATCAGGTGTTCTTCCTCAAGTCTGAAAGAAGCAGAGACAGGCTGGACGAAATATCAAGAAAAACTCTATGCACATACAAGCTGTCATCTTGGAAGGATACTGGAAGGCTATGAACTAGGAATGAAGAGGTATAAACAGGAGCTATTATGACAGCTGACAGACGGGGTGGAAAATGGCATTTTACTTTCAGCTTGGCATGCCATCACACCGAGTACAGACCATGCACAGAATTTGAACCACTTACCCAATGTCTGTGTAGATAAAGCCAATCTGGGATCAACAGACTCTGGTGCAACTCAGGCACATGCACCTTTTCTAACTCCCTTCCCATGCAGGGTGATCAGAGCAGATCCTGAAGAGGGCTGCTAAGTTCCAGTTGCCGAATCGCACTACTGTCCTTGTTCAAGTGCTAGACAATAGGCCTGTACGAAGCGGCAAGTATTCACTTTGGATTCAGATTCAGCCAATTCAGAGGAACAGTGATTCCATTTGGAGATTCAAATCACTGTCCTGATTCGATTTGGCTGAATCAGATCCAAAGATTCAGCACCGCTTCGGAGATTCGGCCATAAAGTAAACAGGCAGCAGTCCTCCCTATGCTGCCAGCTGGTAAGTCTGTTGTGGGCGGAGGGGGAAAAGAAGGG